CCTAACCCCCTAACCCCCTAACCCCCTAACCCTTACGTTGAAGCTTGGGGGTCAACCCCCAAACTTGTTTGGGGGTTGCCAGCAGCCCATAGACGTCACAAACACTGGGGCAGTCAGCACCAGACCATAAGCAAAATGTTGGGGGTTGGAATGGACACAAGGGAGCGCTGCAGGGGGTTTGGCAATGATCAGAAACATTTGGGGGTCATTAGAACTTACACTTCAAGGTCCATTACAAGAACATGCACTGCATAATGTCAGTTGTAATGAATAATAAATGCCAAGTCCAAATAAAATTGGGGGTCAGTTACAAACTTACAGAGGCACACTGTGGACGTCTAGGCAGGCCCAGCAGACCCCACAAAGGCCCAAAACTCGACAGGCAACACTGTAATAGTCAGCACACAGTCAAATCCCATGGGGGTCAACCCCCAAAACAGTGAACACACAGGAGGAATGACATAAGAATCTCTGGCCCATGCCTCTGGGCTGGCCAACCATGAGTATGACATCCATTGTGTCACTGGGCTCTGTCCAGGCCAGGACCACTGTCTCCCCACTGGGTTCACTGGATCCACCCTGGAGAGGGATTCTGCCACTGTCCCACAAATTCCTTGACTCTGTATCTAGGGAGAAATTCAGAAATCTCACTAGCTCTGCTGCCACCCCCTTCACTCCCCTCATCTTTTCTTTGGGTGGTGTCATGGAACAAAGGACTGCCAAGCCTCCACACCTGGGTGAGGTCCTACCTCCCCACTCCCAAGGATGCTTTGTATCAGACTCAGTCTCACCTCCTTCGCGCCAGAGGGAGAAACTTTGATCTCTGGACCCATTGAGCCAGAAAACTGCCATGTCTACTATAGTATCCTCTTCCCATAGTTCTTAGTAGTCAAAAACCGATGCAGCCCCCTACCCCCTAAATTTCTAATAGCAGGGTTTTTGGCCCATGCCGCAATACCCATTGCGGCAACCATACTTACGTTAGACTGGTTTTTAGAAGGTTTCGGATTTCACTGCAGGTGGTAGAGGCCGAACCCAGGATTGTCGGATAGGGTTCGGGTGGAACCACACACATATGGATTCAAAATGCCGGATTCCGGGACCGGCAACCGGCCCAGTGCGTTCGGGCATAGCCGATAAACCTCGGCCCCTTGTACCACCTCTTCATCACGAGCAGCCATTCCACAACGCTCAGTCACCCGTTCGTCTACTCGCATCTTCACCATGACGGCTCCTACCTGGGTTCGCGATCTCCTTCCGCCAAAGGTGGCCGGCCCCGACTTGCTGGCTGCGGAACGCGCAGGCAGCGTCGTGGATGCTGCCGCCATTGCCAACATGCTGTATGGGCCCGATGTTCTGGCGATGCGTTCGCGTGTGGAGGCGACCCTCATCGCCCAACATTTTGACGACAAACTTGAAGCCCTGCCATCGCTGGGACGCATGCACAAGATTGAGCAGTCGCTTGCTCGCGGAAAGTCTCTCAAGCACCTCCGGAAGGTGCACAGCTGGTCACCAGAGGAGTACTCGTACTCGTCCACAGCGTCCGGCGAGATGAACGTTTACGGCTTACACGACAAGGCGTTCATCAAGTGCCTCACGGACCAAACAACTGATGAGCAGAAAGCGGCTTTCCTTGTTCCGGCACAGCAGGACAAGATTATCGGCTGCTATGCGCAGACAGAGCTCTCACATGGCTCCAACGTCCGCGGCCTCGAAACAACCGCGACGTGGTCGCCCCATGATCAGACGTTTGTCGTCCATTCACCGTCACTTACTGCCAGTAAATGGTGGATCGGCACGATGGGCGCACGGCCAACCATGCTCTTGTGATGGCCCAGCTCATCGTCAAGGGTAAAAACTATGGTCCTCACACTTTTGTTGTGCCCATTCGCGACCTCGCAACGCACGAACCGCTTGAAGGAGTTTACGTTGGCGACATTGGGCCAAAGTTTGGTTACTCGTGAGTAGACTCTCAACATGTCCTCTCTTACCCAGGTCAATGGACAACGGGTTTGCCTTGTTCAACAATGTCAAGATCCCGTACATCAACATGCTCGCTCGGTTCCAATTCGTCGACCCACAGACCAGCGAGTACAAGCGCCGCGGATCACAGGCCCTGGTGTATGGAGGTATGACCTTTCTGCGCGTTGGCATCGCAGCAGACGCCGCCACCACTCTTGCACGCGCTGTCACAATTGCCATTCGCTATGCCGCCATTCGTCAGCAGTTTGCAGATGAGACTCGGCATCCCAGGCTGAACAAGCAAGTTTTCTCAACTACAGCATGGTGCAGTATCGTCTTCTCCCTCTCATCGGCACAGCGTACGGGCTTCAGTTTGCTGCCGAAGGCCTGCGCGGTCTCTATGGTCGGTACGACTCTCTCCTCGGCGGTGGAGACCAGGCCGGTGCTGAGCTCTCCTGGCTGAGCTCCACGTCCAATCCTGCGCGCTGAAGTCTCACGGAACTACCATCTCCGTCGAGGGAATTGAGACTGCGCGCCGCGCCTGCGGCGGTCACGGATACAGCCACTACTCTGGCATCGGCCACCTGTACAGCGAAATGCTCCCGAGTGTTACGTATGAGGGCGACAACTACATGCTCACAAAGCAAGTAGCCCGTGCCCTAATCAAGGGAGCCAAGGCCAAGAGCGCCATGTTTGCGGACTACAACCCATCTGCCAAGTTTGACTTTGCAAAGGATGTCGACATTATCAAAGCGTACGGCCACCGCGTCGCCTTCCAAACCTTCCAGATCATACGCCTTCGTGATACCGGGTCGACGTGGAACGCACTTCTTATTCCATTCTGGCGCCTGTGTACCGCCTACGCACAATTCATCATTGTGAGGGAGTTTCATGATGCCCTTGCTCGTCTCCCTGCCGCTGGCGTGCCCACCCAAACGAGTGCAGTTCTCGCAGACCTCTTCCGCCTACACGCCCTTACGACGTTGACAATTACGCCTCCGAGTTTGCCGACGCCCAGGCCGTGCCGGCGGCCCTGCGCGATGGTGTTTCACGCCAAAAAGCCATTGCGGACCTGCTGTCCAAGATCCGCCCGCACGCAGTCAACCTCATGGACGGCTGGGCGTTCAGCGATCTCGTCCTCAACTCGTCCCTCGGCAGGAGCGACGGCAAAGCCTACGAGAGCATGTTTCGTCGGGCGGCTGCCAACCCAGTCAATACCCTCACGTTTGACCCCGTCCGGAATCGAGTGTGCTCATCAAGAGCAGACAGGCGGTGGCAAAGCTGTAAACGTCCGTATTTGTTGAAGACTAGTGATATGAAAGGGCTGTCAGATTGTCAAATGGCAATGCGTGTGACTTGCCAGTACGATAACGTCTAGAAACAAGGAGGCCAAGCCACATGCGTAAAATAAAGAATACATAGTGTTGGTGTTGAAATACATGGCATTTGACCCAGTGGATACCAAACGTGCAGGTACATTACAGTTGTGACTGCATCTCATTGTATAGTTCTCGGCCAGCTGGTGTGCGCGGTCGCGGCGCTCAAGCCTTTGCTGCTCTAATGTTCGAGGTGTACGCACACCCGTGGCCCAACAACCGAAGGGCGACGGCGGTCACCGTGGCTCTGCTGTCTGCTGCGGTTTCTCGCCTGTGAAGTGAGTCCCAATGGTTCTTCACGACTGATTATTCGTCCTGGAAGCACGCTGTAGGCCCGGGACGGTGCGCGCGACAATTCCCTTGACGGGGTGCCACTGGGCGAGCCCCCAACACTGCCCATGCGGCGTTGAAGCTTGTCTATAGCTTTTAGCCGATCCGCCAAGTTTAGAGACGTTGGCTCTGGGTTTGTCGGTGATGGCTCGGCGAGCATGCGCTCCATGGCGTCCACTGCCTGAGACTCTGCGAGAACTGCCGGCTGCACAATATCGTCGGCAACGTCGTCGAGGCCAGACGGTAGGGCATCGACAGGGACACCGGCAAACTGGCTAGAGAAGCCTTGTTGTTCGGAGGCGCGCGGTGAGGACGTCGGCAAGATTTGTGGTCCAGGTCTCGATTGCTTCCAGAATGTCCACTTTGAAGGGGACTTCGCGGCTGCCGCAGCAACCCTTTCGTCCTTCTCTTCCGGTGAGTCGGTATCCAGGTCAAACAGCGCCTGCATAAACCCATGCTACCTCCAGAGCTCCTATCACCCCCAGCATTGTCAACTGTGGATGTAGTGGCTGTGTTTGGCGGCGAAGGCTCAAAGAGGGACACGAAGGGAGGCAACGCGTCATCTGTCGACAGAGCGTGGGGGTCCGGTTGGGTGGGGAATGTACGTCCACGCTTCACGTACACCGTTCCGCAGGCAAGGGTCGACGAAGACGCAGATCTTGGCAGTCAGAATGTGTACAGCTTGAAATTGCACTCACAAAGGCAAACACACAACCTCGAGCGCCATAGAAAAAGTAATACACAACATAGAGGCCAAACTCGGCGCGACTCGTAACCCCACCAGTGGCGGATATGTACAAGTCTCCGACTGTCTCTGTCAGCACCCCAAGTTTCTGGTAGGGCAATTACTTGCAATGATGCCATTCACGATAGCTAGGGCAACGGGGTATGCGGCAATTCTCACTGCGATGCCCACAAAGCGATCCTCTAGATGCCCAAACTGATTCCTGCGGTTTTTAGAGATGCGCCGGCGGACGAGGCACCGCCCGATGGGACCACCAATCTTTGGTGACGGTAGATCATTCCCGGCAGCATCGGTGAGCGTCTCCTCACCACTCATGGTGAGGTTGAAAGATTCACCGCTGGACAGAGCGCGGGCGGTGGCACGTCCTTGACGGAAGAGGGTCACAAGAGTCTGGGATCAGATCGATCGCGGTAAGCGACCTACCATCGTGACTGCGACTGTAGCAATGAAGCACGAGAGTAGTTGCCAGAGGTACTGGTATGTATCAGTGTAGACAAAGATTCTTAACCACGAGGTCGAGGACAAGGTTTCGCATCCGGGACCTGTCATCGCTAGCCTGGATCCAACTGAGATGTTTAGGATGGTAACGTCTCTCACGCTTACCATACATCCAGGACAGGGTCCCAACCAAAGTGGCCAAGTGCGGCCGGGACAATGGGCACGAAGAACCCAACGAAAATGGAGATACTGCCGTACCAGAACTCCAGGTCTGTAGTCAGTTGTTGACAGTCACCCTGGGGTTACACACTTAGACGAATGGGATTCAGGCCAAAGACATTGTGACGGCGAGGTTGACGGCGATAAAGGTAATGTGATAGTTGACACTGAGGTCAGTTAACTTCACGCTCTCATTTTTCTCACACTCCAATGGTGGCCATCATGAAATACACTCCTGTAACACACACTCCGTTCGCCAGCCCACCCGTGACACCAGGCTGGGAGTCAGGTGTGCCATCCAGACGTTATAGCACGTACAGCGACGACAACAATGTAGCTGATGTCGTAAATGATCTCAAAGCAGAGAGCGTGGAGTAGGAGACGAAAGCTGACCCGGTCCAGCAAGCTTCGCGCCGAAGGGACCGAGTAGACCCATGCCGAGGTGAGCAGAATGGTGGAGCACGCCAAGATTGAGCATCCTGCGGCGACACATGACTGTATCTCGTTGGCCTAGGGTGAGCATATGTCAACGTCCAGTACACACCCTAATTTGACTGTCGGTTAGCACAAACATTGTTCCATTGGGGTCGAAAAGGACACTGGCGGCGAATTGAATGTGAAGCTGAAGAGTCGGCTTCTGTTGCGCCCGTGCCTGCGACGATCCACCAGAGGGATAGGCAGGTTGACAGTGCGTTGATTAAGGATGATTGTAAAGAACAGTGCGATTGTCAAAAGAGCAAAGTGCCTGCCCGCGAACGAGCATAAGGACACAACACAACACGCCTGCGCGTTTAATTACATGACCAAGGCCCCTGGCAGGGAGATCTACGGATGACGCAAGACGCATGACGCATGCCGGATCACACGTGATGGCGGGTGCTTGGTACATCACGTGCAAAACACCGGTGGAAAGCGATGGCAATGCAGGCCGGCGCTGGTGATATCCGGTGAATTGCCGCAGCGTGAAGCTAGAGTGCGGCAGAAAAAGTACTGTAAGTACATACGATCCACAGACCAGACTCCATGTAGCACTTTTGACAAAGCACCCGATCCAGTGATCCAGTGAGGAGCTGTCACCACAGGTGACAATGCAGTATCGTATGGTTATATCCCGGGGTGACACTCGTGGTCTCTTCAGCGACGGTGTAGACGTGGGAAGCCTGTTTGGGCGACGAAGCACGCGAGTTAATGGTTGGCATGTACATAGTGGTGGACAGTGAGACCGTACAGTGTCTAGAGTCGGTGCCACAAGAGGGACCTGTCCAATACACAGTGGCAAAAATATGGGGGTGGACACCTGGCTGTGCTGCACAAAGCTTCATTTACGATCATGCCAGCGAGAGATTGTCAGATTTCACCATGTTTTTGTATCAGTAGCGGCGCTTGAAGGTGAACGGACAGAAAAGGAAGCTTTGCATGAGCACTGGAAATGAAGCCCACGCAAATACATAGTTTTCTGGGTTGTTGCCCAGTGCGCAGCACCGAGAGAACGAAGAATGGCGATGAGCCAAAACGTGGCAGCGTAAAGATGTCGCTGCGTTAGAGGCATTGCGAGTACCAGTCATTCTGGAAAGTGCAGGTGGAACCAGACGTACAGACGGTGCACCCCGAGTAGGACAAACCGCCACACTGACCCCACTTGGAAACAGTGCAAGACGAGGCCGTGGTCGAAGTCGCGGGTGCCGAGGACGTCGTCTTCGTCGTCGTCGAGGTGGTCGAAGTTGCCGAGGTTGCCGAGGTTGCCGAGGTCGCGGACGTAGACGGAACGGGGGTTGTTGACGAGCTAGTTTGGGGACTGTTTCCAGGGAGGTAGGCCTGGATAGCGTTGGTCCAGAGGTACTGGTCAGAGCCATCGCTGTTCGGGACAAGACTGAGCTCGTAGGTGGTGTCGAATGCACCAGCAGACCAAGCGGTGAAACCGAGGACGACATCCGAGTTGGCGGACAAGTAGCTGAGAGCCTGGGAGACGTAGGTCGCGCAGCCGGCGTTGTTTCCACCTCCAAACTCGGTGAGGAGCGCCCTGCGGCCGTTGGTGCGGAGGAAGCTGACAAAGGCCTCAAACACGCTGACGGCGTTGGTGGTGCAAGTGGTGGAGCTTCCCGAGCCGTCCGAGTCAAAGTACTTGTGTGCGTCAAGCAAAAGGAGCGACTTGTCGCTCGTGGCCGGGTCCGTGATGGCGAGCATGTCGTTGTTCTCGCCAGCGGTCCAGGTCTCAGGGTGGGTCCAGAAGTTTCCGGGAAGCACAATGTACTGTGAGGTGGCGCCGGCGGCACGGATGGCGTTCACGGCAAGCTGGCAGGCGGCCACCCAGTTGGTCCACTGTGTACCCGAGATGTCGTGGGGCTCGTTCATGAGAGCTACAGTTAGTGCTCGTCCTCCTGCCAGCAGTACATACCAAAGATCACCCTCGAGTTGTTTTGTATTTGGCAGCAAGGAGAGACCAGAGGTTGGCAAAGTACTGGCCCGAGACATCAGTACCGACAACACCGCCGTTCCAACGCGCATAGTTGTGGATGTCGATGATGGCGTACGCTCCCGTGTTGAGAACACCCTGAACGAGGGCGTCATATGTCGCCAGGTAGGTTTGGTCCAACGAAGTTGAGGCGACATTGCTGCCCACGAGGTACTGCCAGCCGACAGGAAGACGGATCAGGTTGGCACCCTGGTTGGTAAAGTGGGAGATCTGCGAGGTGGTCGGACACCACGTGACGCCACTGTAGCCATAAGTGGTCATGCCAAAGTCACATCCCTATATGTAGTGTGAGTGGGCGCCAAAGAGCCATCACTTACAGCAAGGTTGACACCACCGAATTGGAATCCCGATCGCTTCTCCAGAGGAGCGGCTGCGACTGCTGCTGCTGTGGCACAAGAGCCGAAAGCAAGGTGGAGGAGACCTCATGATGGGAGAAAGGAGAGAATGTGTTGTGTGCGGTACCGGACCAATGGAAGAGGGATAAGTGAAAGCCACGCTTAGGAATGGGATATCCCAGTGGCGATGATGGGAGACACCTTTTATAACACACGGTTTACGTGTCATGGCTGCCGACGTGCCACGGACCGAATGAACCATTCCGACAATTTGCATATATGGTTAGAGCGCGTTTCGGGCCGAACTGAATTGGTGCGGTCTGCCCGATAGGTTTCATGGGGGGCCTATGCGTCAGCCCCAACCAGTGTACCAGTAGTGTTCTTGTTCTCGAATCTTGGCGTTGCGCCAGGCGGCACTGTCGCACTGTCGCACCGTCAATGGCAGTGGCATGTTTCCTCTCGTTCGGTAAAAAAGAAAAACGCCAATGGATCCGTGCCCCCAGGCGCCAGGGGTTGGCAGAGGACCGACTGTGCGGGGCCTGTTTCCACTCACAGAGACCGACTGTCACATGCATTTCCATCATGTGTCTTCTTTTCCCCTCTCCAGTCTCCGTCTGCCCGCTAGGTCTGCCGCTCGAGCCAGCGCACACCATCACAGCCTAACCCGTCCATCGACTCGGTCAGATATTCATTCTCGGCTGCCTTTGCGCGGGCAGCAGGCAGCAGGCAGCCATAAG